CCAGGTGGGATAACTGTAAGTCAGGTAGATAAGAATGGAATTTATAGTATGCAGTGATGAGGATGCTGAAGAAAAACTGGGAGGGTTAAGAGTAGGAACTGGTCAAGGCCAAGAATGAGAAAATGACAACTTTCATAATGCCTTCCTGTAACAGGCTGGGTCGATTGTGGGTATGAATTAAAAGATCATCACAATAACGCTCAACTTCCTAGATCCTCAATTATTGCAAAAAAGGATTTAGAAAAGAATATACACTTTCTCACTGAATGTATAGATACAAATATATAGGTATATATACAGATACACACACACATTCTTTCTGACAACTTAGAACATTTTACTCTGAATTTCTCTTAAGAATAAATGGACAGAAGAAAAATCTGACCTGGACTGCCTAGATGATGTAATTTAAATATCTTCCCAACTCAGCCAGGTGAAATTAATTTTATTAAATTTACTTGTTTGTATTAAAGCCATATATTCACAAGGCACCTGTTTAAATGCAAGTATGTGTTTAAGAGAAATAACACACACACTCTTAGGAGCCATTAGCAGAGAAGTACAGAATAAGATGGGTCACTCTATTTGTGGGGCAAAGGGAAAAGGAACAATGAGACAGTGTGGAGAATTCACTGATATCTGGATTAGGTGTGTTTTGGAATTTGTCTCATACTTTGTGGAACAAGGTATGTTACAAATAAATACGTAAATTCTGCCAAACACTATCCATTCTTCATACAGATGTGCAGGATCTGGAAAGACCTTTTAGGAGTCAGTTGAAACAAAGATTCCAAGAAGTGGATTCACAGTTTGGAGAAAGATGATGGGAAAGAAATGATAACTTTGTGTGGTAACATTAAGATTCAGGGAAGAAAACTTGTTTTCTTCCAGTCTATGATATTCTGGTTGCATGTGGAGTTTTAACAATGCTCATTAGTCCCGATCTTAACAAACAAAAACATAACATCTGCTAATAGATATCCCCAGTCCCACCCACCCCC